AGGCAATATTCCGAGTTCCCCGCTCCCTCAGGACTCTGGGGGCAGTGCAGGAGCTAAGGGGAAAACATGAAGGAACCACTTCTTCCATAGCCCTTGGAGCGCCTCAGGCTCACCTGTCCTCCAGAGAACGGTGTCATAGAAGAAGGAGAACTCCATCTCGGTGTGGTGCTCCAGGGAAGCCCAGCCCCTCGGTGCCGTCACATAGATGTAGGACACGTAGAGAGGGACGTGGACTGTCAGGAGAGGACTGAGCAGAGTCCCTTACCTGGCAATAAAACCCCAGAAAGGGGGTTATGCGCCTTGCAGTGAAGTCAGAGGTGACTCTGGACGTTCTTTACGTGCAGGTACCTCAGACAAACCGGCGTTGTAATCCGGGGGCAGTGCTAAGGCTCCCTGGGACCACGGGACAAAGGAACTCTGGGCACAATTTCACCTCAAAACCCCCCTGATTTCCAAGGCTGTGAATTAAAAATGAGCAATTCTGCTTGCTCAGGCCTCCCAGAGCTCTCCATTTATTATCTGCAGAGTGCAGCTGTACTTTGCAGGCCCTGGAGAATTCGGGGAGATGTTCCAGCCTGGCTGGGGCCAGGCTCCACATGCTCCACTGGGCAGTTTCTCCGGCCAGGCGGCTCCTCTGGGTTTGTGCAAACAATTGGAGCTATAAAAGGAAACTTCATGAACTAGTTCCAGGCTGGCAGGAATTAAGAGAGATGATGCTGGTCCAAGCAATGTGGGCTGGGAATTTAATGGGAGAGCCTGGGGGAGATGGAGTGGGCTGCACGTGGATAACGCAGCCAGAAGAGGGCAGTGAGACACCCCAAATAGGGAAAGCCACTCATTTCTAGAGGAACACTTTTGGCTTCTGGTCTCTTAATTAGGGAATGAGCCAAAATATCCCATGTTGTAGAGCATGGCCTGAGCCGCCTCTGCTCTGTCCTCTGCTCATTTCTATTGGCCAAGAACACAGTCAAAATTATAAAAGAGAGCCCAGCTGAGAACGTTTTGTATTTCCAGTATGGCCCTACATTAAAAAAACCAGTATTTTCCTGGCACTCTGAAGATTTAGAGAATAAAATAAATGGAAAATGAATGAAATGGAAAATAAATGAAATAAATGCACACAGCACCGTTTTCTTCCAGGTGAGGGTGGGGGGAAAAGCCACGCTCCACCTGTGCAGGGCAGAGCAGCAGCTCCACACAAGGCAGAGCTGTGCCTGAGAACTGAGAGAGATCTGGGATACCTGGAGAGCTCTGGATGGGCCTCTCACCTGGAAGTCAGCGGTGACAGAGCCCCCACAGACATCAATTAACTCGGTCATGTCGTAATAAGCGTCGAAGGTCCAGATGCAGCTCTTGAGGTTGAGGTGCTGGTACAGCTGGATGCTCTTGGGCTCCCTCACTGCAGGGTCCAGCTGGTAGGGGCGGTCGTAGCCCGGGCCCAGCACGAAGCTGTCCTGGGTCACCTCGTCCAGGAACCCTGCCTCTGAGGGAGAGAAGTCAGGACACTGATCCCTCCCCATTTGAAACAGCCCGAGGCTAAGAATGGAGGCCTTGCTTCACTCTTGAATCAACCGGAGCTCCTCTCCCTTCATTATCCTGGAGGTCAGACTGGACATACTCAGGTCTTCACAGGGGAAAATCTTACAGGAATTGCATGCTAAAAAAATCAGACCTAGGGACCTGCTGATTCAAGGCTGAAGTGAACCTTTAAGAAATGAGGAACAGGTTGAGTATGGAATTATCAGAGCGAAGCACAACTCGCTGCCCGCCTGGATCTAGCATGGATTTCACTGCCTGCAGTGTCAGAGACACCAATGTGCCTGTTCTTTTCAGCTCTGACATTTCCTTCAGCAGTGAATTGATTTTGTTGCCTCATGGGAGACCTCAGTGACCCAGACACAGCCATCCAGCCCGGCAGATCCCTCTCTGCCCAAGTGGATATCACAAGACAGATGTGAAAAGCAGAAAATCACCAGCACAACGTGAACCCACAAGCTAGAAGCTCTAACATTCCCACGCCTGGAATCCCATCTCCAACGGGGCAACTCCGGTCACTGCTGTCAGAGCGGGAAGATTTATTGCCATTTACATCACGTCAAGAGAGCCCAGAGGAAGACAAAGCCACCCTTCTCTGTGATTCTTTCCAGGCTTCCACGCTCAGGAAGCAAAGGCTGGCATTGAAGGTTACCTGAGATGCCCCTGAGGTCTCTGACAGTGACCAGGTTGGAGCAGACGTGCTGGTGCCTGTAGATGGACTCGGAGAGAAGGAAATGCAGGTTGTGCAGCGGCAGCGTGGAGATGAGGGGCAGCATCCCATCCTGGTGGGGGATCTGCACCGAGATGTGGATCCTGGAACAAGCAGCACATGAGACAGCAGAACAGAGCACAGCCTGGCAGGCACAGGATCCCCACAGCAGCACAGCCCCGGCAGGTGAGCCTGATGTGGAGTTTGAGCTGGATTTCCCCACCTACACATCTGCTCCTTAGGCTGTCCCACCCACTCCCAGCTCCTGAGGGGAAGGGCACCCCCTCAGCCGAGCAGGGTGTGAGAAGAGTGGCAGCACAAACCCCACGCTGCAGGAGGGATGTGGCTTCACACACACGTCGTGCTTGTGAGCCCAGGCAGCCCTGTGAGCTCGGGGAGGGGCTGCTGAAGGGCTGCACTCCCCCTTCTCCAGCCTCGTACCTGTTGGGATGCTCCTTGTGCTTCACATCCAGGTACCGCAGCGTGGCAATGAAGGACTGCGCCTGGAAGCCTCGGGCCGTCCCCGCCACCACCGGCGTGTGACAGATGGCGCTGTCTGTGCCTATGGTCACCACGTTGCTCCTCAGGGGGGTCCCCACGTGGCCAGCCTTGTCCACAGCCTTGGCCACGCAGCGCACGTGGAACCGCCGGCTGAAGTAGATGCTGTCCAGCACCTGAGGCAACGAGGAGGGGGAAAGCAGTGGGCTTAAGGAAAACCAGCGCTCCATTTTCTAACCCCAAGCACCCAGGGCTCCCAGCTAGTCCCAAATCCAATGAGATTTTTAGGCCAGAATCTCCGCAGCCCCACCGGTGCCTCCCCGCCCGCGTACCCTGTGGTTGACGCTGGTGAAGGGCGTGTTGTCCGTGATGGTCTCGAAAGGCGAGCGGGCTTCCGTTCCCGTCCGTGGGGGCGGCCACTTCCCAGCTGAACTGTATGGAAGACTGGTTGATCCCGGCCTCGCCGCAGCGCTCCTTCATCAGGGCGTACTTGGGGACGTGAAGGTCACAGGGAGTGACACAGACGAGGGGGTAGCCTGGGGAGGGGGATTTCTTCGCACCCTCCTTGGTCACTTCTTCCATGCGGTCGTAGTCAGCCAGGGTGACCACCTGTGGGAAACCAGAGGGCAGCACTCAGCTGGAGCCGAGGGAAAGGGTGGAAAAAGCCATCCACGCCTCCCACGTTGCCACGGCAGCCCCACTTTCTATTTCCCAAATCCCACTGCGGTTTCCACTCTGTGCTTGAAGGGCACCAACTCACATCCACTCACCACGGGAGGTGCTGGGAGAATCGGGCTCCCCGCTGCCTCCTGATCCAAAATAGTCACTGTGGCAGTGCTGCTGTCTCCTAGAACTGCTTCCACAGGATCATCTGGGCCCAGCACCAGAGAAAAGGACTCGTGCCACTCCCGGTCTTCGTTGGACATGATCTCCACCTTAAACATGATGTGGGCCACGCCTGAGGGAGCGAGTACAAGAAAAACAGAGAGAAGTGGATTCATCACCAGAGACTGCTCTGAAGTTCTCATCCGGACCCTGCTCCCAGCTGTGACCACGGAGACATTAGGATAAAATACGCATTATAAATTTTATTTCCACTCATTGCTGCTAATAATTTACCCAGAGGAGCCCACTATAAACATAAAACTCCAGCTATGACAACTGATCCAATCGATCCGGTGATAGATTTACTAGCAGATGCCATCTGAGGATTAATAGCGACTGTCTTGTAGTAGCTGCCTGAAGGAAAAATCTGGGATGCAAAGCACATTCCCATCCCTCGTCTTCCTCACACCAGTGTGCAGAGCCATTTGGTGAGGGCTTCTTGGTCCAGCAACGTGGTCTGAGGTGTTCACAGGCCTATGTTCCTTCAGGAGGACTTGACTCTGCCAAGTGCCAGCGCTTCCTCCTCTGCTCTGATCAGCCTTCCTTTAAACACATCAGCTAATTTTGAGTAACAACATTACAGCAAACTTCATGCTTTTCCAGTGGCTTTTCCCAAACCTCCTGGAAGTCCCTGGCGCGCACAAAACGTCCCTGGTCGCATCCCCACCTCAGACCCTCCCCGCCAGGCCCCTTCACCTGGGCTGAACTTGAGCATCCAACTCTTGGGGTAGTAATCCACGCCGGCCTGTGCCGAGCCGTCGCGGGCGCTGCAGCGCACCTTGGACGTTCTGTTCTGGTCACCTCTGCGGATCACCGGGATGTTCAGCACAGCCACTCCCTCCGGGCCCGGCGGCTCCCGGCACCTGGTACGCGGCCTCTTCGAACTCGATGCTGGGGGCTGCAGGCACAGCAGGGAGGGGAAAAGCTCCGGGTTTGCACCCCTGACTGGCTCAGCTCAGCTCCTTTCA